TGGCCGAACTCCGTTATCAATTTAGAGTGTATTCTCTTCTTATCTCTTTTATTACGCATTTATTTGGTAGTTGTAATTTTTTGAGTGAAAAATTACCCGGTTTCCCCAATAAGTGGTATCAGAGTCGAAGGTTCATCCTTTGGCTTGTTTGTAATTTGTTATATTGAATACTATTGTTTGAGTCTAAAATGGCATTAGACGATTCACCGATATGGATCGGCTATCATTTGAGTCCATGTCAAAAATTACATCTGGAACATCGGCTTCCTCGTCCACATAGTCGAGGATTCCAATGTCAAGTTTGAAGCTAGCGATGGAGATAATTGACGGTACTGGCCATTTCAGCATGTGGCAAGGCGAGGTCATAGATTCTTTTTTTCAACATTCCATCCAAATGAATGGATTTTGAATTCAGATTCTATCTATCATATGTCTCCCATGCTGGAATGGTTCTTTGAATTTGAAGAATTTGATGGTGGAGTTGCTTACATGAAAAATGACAATCCATGTAAAAAATTTGGGATAGGTTCAATCAAATTGCGTAATCATGATGGATCCACCAGAATCTTGAAAGATGTTCGGTACGTGCCGAATTTAAAGAAGAATCTCATTTCTTTGGAGGCCTTGGAGTCAAAAGGCCTGATTGTGATAATGCGAGATAGAATTCTTAAAGCAACTTTGGGAGCACTTGTGATGGTGAAAGGTGTGAGAAAGAATAATCCGTATTACTACCAAGGTAGTACTGTTGTTGGGACAGCAACAGCAGCAACATTTTCCAGTAGCAAGAAGGATGCGGAGGCAACAAAGTTGTGGCACATGCTGGTAAAAAATCCTTACAAAATCTTGTCAAGTAAGGATTGTTGAAAGGTACGAAAGCTTGCAAATTAGATTTCATGAGCATTGTGTTTTGGAAAAACAGAGAAGAGTGAAATTTGGTACTTGCATCCACAATACCAAAGGTATTTTGGATTATGTGCATTCAGATGTTTGGGGACTTGCCAAAACTCCATCTCTTGGAGACAGGTACTATTTTGTCACTTTTGTTGATGATTTTTCCAAAAGAATTTGGGTATTTACTATGAAGAACAAGGATGATGTGCTAGGGATTTTTCTTAAATGGAAAGCTCAGGTTGAAAATCAGACAGGAAGAAAGATCAAGATTTTTCGAACAGACAACGGTGGAGAATACAAGAGTGATCCCTTCGAAGAGATATGCCAAGAGTGTGGCATAGTTCGGCACTTCACAGTTAGAAGAACACCGCATCAGAATGGGGTGTCAGAGCGTATGCACAAGATACTAGTGGAGAAAGTTCGTTGCATGCTGTCTAATGCTGGGTTAGACAGAAAGTTTTGAGCTGAAGCTATGACATACGCTCAACATCTCGTCAATCGCTTGCCATCATTTGCAATAGGTGGCAAGGCTCCGTTAGAGGTATGGTTTAGAAAACCTACAACAGACTATGATTTTTTGCATATCTTTGGTTCTACTGCATATTATCATGTAAATGAATCAAAGTTGGATCCACGTGCAAAAAAGTCTCTCTTTATGGGCTTTAATACTGGAGTTAAGGGATACAGTTTGTGGTGTCTAGAAGCAAAGAAGATCATTATTAGCAGGGATGTTACCGTTGATGAATCTACCACGTTGAATAATGTAGCACAAGATGGGACCAGTGGTACTCCGCAACAGGTGGAGTGTATGCCAAAACAGGTGAAGTTTGAGCAGATAATGGTGAGCCCAGCAAATAGTACCATCAGTGATTCTCCCATGGTAGAAGAGGAGTCAGATGAGAAAGAGGTTTCAACTCAAGAACCTCAACAGCAGCAAGAGTCAATTGCCGTCAATAGGCCAAGATGAGAAATTCAAAAACCTGCTCGTTTTGCTGACATGGTGGTCTATGCACTTCCAGTTGTTGATGTTCCATCCACCTTTCCTAAAGCAGTTCGAAGTATAGAGAATTGGTAGATGAAAAAATGCTATAGAAGAAGAGATGCAATCTCTTCAGAAGAACAAGATGTGAAAGTTGACACAACTACCGAAGGGCAAGAAGGCAATTGGATGCAAATGGGTATTTGCAAAGAAAGAAGAATTTCCTGACAAGAATGATATTCGCTATAAGGTAAGATTGGTGGCTAAAGGCTACGCTCAAAAGGAGAGAGTTGATTATAATGAGATATTTTCTCCAATTGTTAAACATTCCTCTATTAGAATCCTGTTGGCCTTGGTAGCACAGTTGAATTTAAAATTAGCTCAACTTGATGTGAAAATCGCGTTTCTTCACGGTGACTTGAAGGAGAAAATCTATATGTTTCAGCTAAATAAATTCAAAATTACTGGTAAAGAGAATTGGGTTTGTAAGCTGAGCAAATCGTTTTACGGATTGAAGCAATCACCGAAGAAATGGTACAAACGATTTGACCAATTCATGATGGGCTAGAAGTACACAAGAAGCAAATACGATCAATGTGTGTATTTGTGCAAGCTACGAGATGAGTCCTATACCTACTTACTCCTGTATGTTGATGATATGTTGATAGCATCAACGAGCCAAGTTGAAATTGACAAATTAAAGGTTCGGTTGAATAAAGAGTTTGAGTTAAAAGATTTAGGAGAAACTAAGAAGATTCTCGGCATAAAGATAAGTAGGAATAGAATGAGAGGTCACATTTGTCTACACAGAAGCAGTATTTGAAGAAGATAGTACAACGATTTGGTATGAATGGAGATTCAAAATTTGTAAGCACTCCGCTTGCTCCTCATTTAAAATTTAGCAGGCTATTATTTCCAAAAACGAATGAAGAGCGAGCATACATGGCGAAAGTCCCTTATGCTAATGCAGTTGGTAGCTTGATGTATGCAATGGTGTGTACGAGACCCGACATTTCACAAGCCATTAGTGTGGTAAGCAGGTTCATGCATGATCCGGGCAAAAATCATTGGCAAGCTGTGAAATGGATTCTACGGTATATCTAAGATACTGTAGATGTTGGATTAGTATTTGAGCAGGATGAATCACTTGGTTAATGTGTAGTTGGATATTGTGATTCTGACTATGCAGGTGACTTGGATAAGCGACATTCTACAACTGACTACTTGTTCACGTTTGCCAAGGCGCCAGTTAGTTGAAAACTACTTTGCAATCAACAGTGGATTTATCTATAACAGAGGCAGAGTATATGGCAATTACCGAAACGGTGAAGGAGGCAATTTGGCTTCAAAGATTGCTTGAAAACTTGGGAGTTGGTCAAAAACATATTGATATGTTTTGTGACAGTCAGAGTGCTATTCACTTAGCGAAGAACTAAGTCTTACACGCAAGAACGAAACACATTGATGTTTACTATCATTCCGTGCTGAAAATTCTCAAAGAAGAGGAGATTTTTCTCCAAAAGATTCGGACTACGGAGAATCCTGCAGATATGCTGACCAAGGTGGTTACAAGATCCAAGTTTCAACATTGTTTAGACTTGGTCAACATCTTGCACATTTGAGTTGGTGCCTGAGGGCGCAAATTTGAAAGTACCACGAGAACCGTTTGTTATTTTGTTTGAGTAAGAAGGTTTGTATTTTCGTGGGATTAGAAATTATGCCAATGTGGAGATTTGTTGATTTTTTTTGCATAAGTTTTTGTTCCACATCGGTGGGACAGGTTTTAGGGGGAGTGTGTGAGAGTTATAAATTAACACTCTCCCCTCCCAATTGAGATATTAGAAAATTTTGTATTCTTTCTTCTCCCAAATTAATAAGAGCGGGTTGTTTAGGCAGTGCTCGGAGATTAGGCATATTTGGTCGAACTCTATTATCAATTTAGAGTGTGTTCTCTTTTTATTTCTTTTATTACGTATTTATTTGGTAGTTGTAATTTTTTGAGTGGGAAATTACCCGGTTTCCCGACATACACTAGTGACTGCAGATATACAGTTGATAGTAGCCGATGGGATGGTCTGAAGTTAGATAGAAGGGATATTATTGTCAAAAAAGTATAATATTTTTATATATTATTGTGTTGTGTTAGTGTCTGCTTTTATTATGCTAGTGTCTGTATTATCATACAGTTGAAACCAATAATTGAATATGCCCTGGATCCAAGAAGCATGGGCCCAAATCACTGTGGTTTAGATCAAATGCACGGCAGACGAGTCTAGAAAAACAGGGGTATATATTTTCAGACGGTTCAAGGCAAGAGCTGCATCCAACTAAAGTCACAAGCAAGAATATCAAAGCTACTGCACATATGTTTATCAGACGTGCAGGTGCTTTAGGGATACCAAGAAGCATAGAAATTAAACAGAAAATCGAATTTTAAGTATAGATGTACGTGTACATGACAAACAAGAAGGCGACCTGGAATGATCTGAGGTATGGCTAAATTGCTCATGCAGAAATTTGAGGATAAATTAACTAGAACTACTTGATTATGTCCAGAAAATTGTTGGTCCATGCCATTAAACTGATGACAACAAAGCATGGAATTTATGACGTTAAAGTATTAGAAAGGCATACTGAACAAAGTGGTTCATCAGCAACAACCTTAATAGTTAACAGAGCCAACATATATATATATATATATATATATATATATATATATATATATCTGTACACCAATTTTATGCTTTCAACATTTGTTGTAAACTAGCTTGGTAAGGACGCAAAGCTGCTTACAAGGGAATGGCCATAGTAAGTTATGGAAAAGAGAAAAACATGAATTAAGCTGTACCAAATCATGAGCCCAATTTCAAGTTTGACCAAGCTTCTTTAAACTTACTAAACATGTAGATGTAGGAAAGTTGCTAAACATAAATGTGGAATGTGTAATGATACTTTTTCTAGCTTATCTGCAAATTGTAGCTAATAGTCAATTTTTCAGGAAAGTCTATCCTGCTTGAAAACCCCAATATTTTCATGACATTGCACCAGTATACAAAGGAAGGCAATAGCTGAAGGTTATATAAAAAGATGGATACTTATATGCTGCAGTGAATTACAACTTCAACTAAGTAGGAGAAGAGAGTTCCAATACACTTTTTTATTATAGGTGACTTTAAGCTTATTGGCAATATAGAAAGTTGTACCTTGCAATATGTTGTCCATATTTTGTGCTTGTATATTCAACAAGCACAAAATTTTGTTATTTTCTTCAGTTCGTTTTCTATCCTAAAATGTGTAATCCACTCGACATACTTGCCTTTAAGTTCGTTAATGCTGATATTCAACATTTCATCTCCCCTCGTGATCAACAAGTCCCATTAAGCAGATAGAATTTCTTAGTTGTCTTTTTGTCAAACTTTAACAAGTGTATATACATGCACAAAGCAAATACACTGACTGACAATAACTTTCAGAAACCTGCATCTCTTGAAACCTTTTAATTTCTGTTGTTCATGTGAACAGTCTCAATTCCTGTATTGCTCTAGGACTTTTAAGTCTTTCCCAGTCACGACATTTTTCGTCAGCTTTTCTTGCAGACAAATTAGATCAACATCTGCATTGGCCTGCAAGAACATGAGGGCGAAACAGTGAGCAACAAGGTGGCGAACCAGATATTGCTGTGAAACTTATATAACTAATTCATCACAATTGTACCTCAGTTTGGATTGTGTAAAGAAATTCCTCATTGACTTTGGTGCAGACACAGCTAACAACAGCAAGACCTTCATCAAGCAGCACATCCAGTATCTTTGATAGAGGAAACCATTTAGTATCTGCCAAGTAATTCTTCATCAGAATCTCAATTCCACCACCCGAGCATTGCCTGAGTGTGAACTTAATAGCAGAAGAGTTCGTTTCCTCAACAATTTTGACGTCCAGATTGCTCGATCCAGCCATTAAATTTATTTGCTTATCCCTTTTTACTTCCAATTCCCTAATGTTCTTCTCCATGTGTTTTATATGATTCACTGCATCAAGAAGATGATCCGAAGCGGAACCCTTTGTCTGAAAAAAAGGAAAAAATCAATAGATCTTCAAATCTTACAGTTCTAAAAACCAGCAAAAAAAAGTACAAATGAGTCAACAATGTATTTTGTTGGGCGGGAAAAAGGAATATGTGTAGAAGGGTTGTAAAAGGCGAAATTTTGAGTAACATCTCACCAAAGAATGGGAATCGAAAACTAGATATCTGTACTTCTGATTATGCATAAAAATTGAGAATTCACCAATTGATTGAATTAGCAAGTCCAGCTTCATCACCTTTTTACATTCAAGAGGCAGTAGATTTCTGAGAGAAGCATAAAGCTCCGCCATTTCTAGCCTCCTTCGGCGCTCGATATCTCTATGATAGGCTTTTTTCTGCTTGCTCTCATCAGGGTTCTTCCCAGAGTCATGATTATCAGGTCGAATAGCTGATGATGCCTTTGTCTGCCTTTTCGGGGCCGTGTTGATATTGTTCCTGATGATGATCTCCTCAGTCTTTTCTTGACGTGAAGCAAGCGAAGATGCAACCACCTGATTTTGCAGATCTTGATGAGGGATTGCGGGTTCTAGGTCGGGATGAACTGTTGAGATTGGCAAATATTCAAAAAGCATTGGATCATCTTGCAGTAAAGGAATCAAATTATAAGTAAAGTCATCCATGTTAAGACAACTGCTTTCTTAGAATGATATCTTATGATATGATTAAGCTACCAAACCAGGATACATTTGTTAGGGTAATTCATACTATTAGATCTCTTAAATGGTAAGAAGAATCTCGGATTCCTGCAATTTTTTCATAAAGAAATAGAAATCAGGACTGAGTATTGTCCTTCTCTCACCTGCCATTCTTTTTCTTTAAAGCTTGCTTGGTTCGTGGACAGCTTAGTTTACACCCTGGAGTCCAACTTCTCACCTACAATCATATTAAACAAAACGTGGTATTAAACTATCATTATTCAACTTTGATTGAATCACACGTAAACTTTCCTCTAAAAACGAAAATGACACGTAAACTTGACCTAATAATGCAAGAAGTGCATTGTTCGAATTTCATTTTTTTTTATTAACTTTTTTGAAGTTTTCTTCTATCAGCAAAGGAGTTGGGGACCATGGTTAGGGTCGTTTTGCAATAGTGTACTTGGATAAATGATTCATTATAAAGATATATGGGTGTTGGTTAAGGGGTTAATCCTTTTTGTCCTTTTTTTTTTTTGTTGAATTTTACTGCTTGGTGAACTTTTTACTGGTGTTCTCTTTATTGCAATGTGAAATCTTACTATGTAACAAATGATTAGCCCGTATTTGGTCGACCAAAGATTGATTTTTCACATCAGAAATGGATTTCCAGGTTAAAAAAGGGGCAAAAAGAAAGAAAGAAAGAAAGAAGAAGGACCCTTCTTTATCTATCTTGAATTTGGAAGTAAGTATTGAGGTTTCTAACGATGAACTGTTTGAGGAAATTAGTATAACAAAAAATATATACATATTTTAAAGCATGTGTTTACTATCTTTAACGTGTTGTTTGTCCATTCTTAGTAAAAGCAAATTATCTCTAAGTTGCTACAGAGTCATAAGATGACAAAAAAAAAAAAATTTACTTTTTTTTTTCGAAGTCTATAGAATTAGTGTTTGACATTTTTGTACTTATAGAGAAGAATGTGGTGCAAAAAAAGACAGGTTATAATTGACAAACTATTTTGACCTTTTTCCTTAAACAGAGATGTCTATTTAAATTAAGAGTCCCACTCACGTTACAATTTGAGTTTGAAACTCAAAGACGCCTGTAATGCCGATTTTCTTGATCTTGCAAAAATAGTGTGGTATGTACATGAAATTACAAACACAGTGTCTCATTAGTTAGAACTAATCATTTCTAATTATAATTAGAAATATCCTTTTCTATCAAATAGGAAGGGCTGTAGCACAAAATGTATTTCTAAGTAATTGCCCCGTAGATCCTATATCTATCTATATGAAAAAGAAATTATATATATAACAAAGGGGATTCTTATTTGTACAAATGATACTTCAAACTTGGAACGAGCATGAAGAAATTAACGATATTTCTTTATCTTTTGATCATTAGAAAGAATTCTATTAAGATATTATGGGTGTGTTTGGATTAAGAAGATTTGAAGTAAAATAATTTACTTCACAAATTCCAATCATCTTTTTATTTCACATACATCACATTACAAAAAGTATTACAGTAATTATCTCAAATAAATCATCCAAATAAACTCGTATCCAAACAACCTCAATATTGTGTGAAAATATGATTTCTTTTATTCTCTCTTGAGAATTGGAGGATTTTTTATTAGGTGGGTTCAAAAAGATTCCTATTTAAAGCATCAAATCTCCTCTATTATCTCAATTAAGAGGGTCAGTGGAAGGACAGGCTCAAAATTACGATCAATGCCCTTTTCAAATTCCGCTACAGCTGCACGAGCCCTTCCCGAGACATGGAAGAAATTTTTTTTCTTCACCAATTTACCATCTCATTCCTCATCTAGAGTTTAGACTTTGTAACTTAGTAGTCAATGCCTCAAAAATAGTGAATGGGGAAAAGTAATAGGAAAGGAGGAGAGAGGCGGAGATGAAATTAAAGGGACTTAAGAGAAGATGGGAAGAAGAACAATAGGAACTCTGATAGAATGCTTTTACTCAGATGAGCAGGTAGCCATCTCACCTAAGATAAATCATGTGGTCATAAATTGTTTGTAACTCCTCTCAAAGATATTTTTCTAGCAGCTGCTCAATCCATAATCATTAACACAATTAAATTCTAATTTGACTATCATGTATGGATACACACTAATAATTATACTCTCCTTTACATTTATATATTTTTTCTAATTAATCTTGTTTTTTTTTAAAAAAAATATAATACGTAAAGTACATTTTAATGGGTACCCATTTAAACATAATTAAATTATAGCCTCTAAAATGTCAACCCCAAGTGGCCCCGTCAGATTTAGTTTGTAACTAGAATTTATACCAATTACTGCTTTTAAACTCTGATTCAAACAAATTGTTGCTGAAATTAATGGGAGACACTTTAGGCAATCAATTCACAAATCTAAGTAGCTTAAGTGTCCAAGTGCCATTGTCAAGATAATTAAACATGTTTTATTCAATTTATATTTAGATATAAACCAGATACGAATTGAAAAAAAAAAAAAAACTGTCCCACCAATATTTTTCCTTCAAGCATACGAAATACTAGTTTTTCATCCAATATGGGACAATAACTCACCTTGTACAGAATACGTTTAATCATATCTTCTGCTAGTCATGCAGATCTTATAAAATTGAAATGAAAATTTGATGTTTATATATATATATATATAACAGAGAATATAAAGTTCCATAAACAAGAACATCATAATGATCAATGGCATCAAAATCATACCTCTTTAAGTACAGTTTTCATGTATGCATACTACTAAAGTTGATTGTTGTTTGTCAAAAAGGATGAAGGATGTTCTTTTATATGCATCATGGGAGAACTTTTAATGCTTCTTAAGAAAAAAATTCTAGACTCCATATCTTCATAGTCAAGAGAAATCTCGATTAGTAAATATTTAACTGAATATTTAACGGAAGAGAGAGAGAGAGAGAGAGAGAACCCTTGAAGAACCACTAATAAAGAAATGATAAAGCATGCATTTCGAAACTGAAAATGCTGGTTCCTGATCCTGAAGGATGGATCCACACGAGGGTGGCAGGGGGACAGCGTGCATGCCATGTTCTTGATAGGCTCATTCAGTCCTAAACCAGCATAAACAATGAGGTTCTGGATTTTGCCCGGCAGGCTGAAGATATGGAGCTGCCTGATACCCTCATAATTGATGTATTATACTATTGGCATAAAATCAATGCCATTGCAAATTGCATTCCAACTTCCTCACTGTTCATTTAAAAATGGAAGAAGCTACAAGATCGAAGTTGTTATTGCTTTATCGGGATTTGGCTCTTCTCCATTTTATAGTTTTCTTCCATTTAATGCGATTCTTTTTTTTTTTTTTTTTATACTTTTTTTAACATTTGCCAACTTGATTACTTGTATATACTTCTAAAAGAGACTGTAATGCGCCACTATTTTTGGAGTGTTTTACAAAGACAAATCTTACTAAGAAAAATTAGGAACATAGACCACTCTTACCCATTAAAATTCTTAATTCTATCATTATCTCGTTTTCTACCCTTAAATTTTAGATACTTCTGCAACTATTTAACATTCTAAACGATACAACTAAAGATTGAGGGACACGGCATCTGTAATGTTATTAGATTCATTTTGCTAAAATACCATATAAGCAATAATCCAGAACACTCCTAAGTTTTCGAAGAATATTCAAAAAAGTTACGTGTGACGTGCGCGGGGTATACATATAACAATTAACTTATTCACAATCAAATTTTATAATTATAAATCCTAAATACCCCACATGTGATTTTCACAAGTATACGAGTCATTTATTGAGCATAGGGGTATTAGGTATTGATCCCACAGGGAAGATTGTCAATTACCGGTGATTTTCAAACTTCTTTATTATTTAGACTATCACAAGTACAAGAAATTAAATCTACACTATAAAAATAACAAAAATACAATCGAAAGCTCCTAAAGGTATGGAATTCCTTACTACTCTTGCAAATAACATTACTTGTTAAGTGAATGTTATTATCTTGGCTAGTTATGGCGTAATTTCTTAATGTATGTGAAATTTACTCTCGTAGTGAATCAACTATACTTGTAATTAAACCATACATACACTCGTGGTCATGAAATTAACTACAAGTTCGTTTCTTCAATGAAATTACATGAAACAAATCACTAAAACTACAAAGGTGCACATCTACTCTCGTAAGTGTACTCCCTAGATTTATTATTTCCTTGAACTAGTGTTAAATTCCAATTCTCATTGCAAACTTAACACCTTAAAATTATCACAATTAATGGCCGGTTAATCATGATTAGAAAAGCAAAAGTGATAAATAACTTGCTCAAAATAATATCATCAAATAACCAGTAAACATCACCGGCAAGATATAGAAAGTTCATTCATTACTCTAGGGATAAACTTTAACTAAACATGTTAAAAACACAATTCCAAACTTGTATTATAGTTAAACATGAATTCAAATACCAAAAAAAAAGTGATAGGAGAGAAGTCACCATTGTCACATGAGATCAACCTCTCCATCTTGCTCCTTAATCTTCATCTAAATCTAACTATAAATATAAGAAGGATAAACTACACTACTTATACTATACTACTTTAACTAATGAACTAAGAGAAACTAATGAAGACTACATTTTTAGTGGAGTTTCTCTAGCCTTCCAAAGTTGTTAAAATGGTCTCCAAAGGCTGCTATTTATAGAGGATTCAAGCTCAAGGTGAGTTGTTTCTTGGTTGGCAAAGTTGGCTTTTGAACTCACCAAGAGTTGTTCTCCAGTTTCCACACCCTTTTTGGTCAAATATAGCAAAATTCTGAGTTATAGATGAGTTGGAAAGATTGTGTGAATGCAAAACAAGTTTTAGAGCAAGTTGTAGCAGAAAAACTAGAATACGTGACCTTGAATACGCAACCTTAGATCGCGTATTGCGCCCCATGTTTTCTCCTTTGCAAGTTTGTACTTTCTAGGCAGATTTTATCTTTGCTCTGTTTTGGTCCAACTTCAACTGATATTTTCTCGATGTTAGAGGCTGAACTAAATCTTATGCAAAACATGAAATTTGTATCTCTTTGAGTTATCTTTCCAATGCCTCAAGAATTATCCAATTTGAAGCTCTGTGGACCGATAAATGACCAAAATACCCTTGACTGGTCAGA